TATTAATATAAAGATATATAGAAGGGACTCTAAATCAGTAAGAAAAAACAGTTTAATAAAATTATGAGCAAAGGATATGAGTAGGCAATTCAAGAGGAATAAATATAAATGACTAATAGTCATATGAAAAGAGGCTCCATCTCACCTTAATCAGGACATGCAAGTTAAGACAAGAACAAAACTATGCACATCTATCTGATTGGCAAAAATAAATAAAAATATGCTGATATCTTTTATTATGTCAACATTTCAAGTACTGGCAAGGAAGCAAGAACTCTGAGGCACTGCCAACTGGAGTCTAGCGAGGCAAGCTTTCTAGAAAGGCAATTTGCCAATCTCTCAGAAGTTAACATGTACATTCTTTGGACCATGAAGTCACTTCTAGGAATTATCCTCAAAGAAATGTATGTGCTGTTCACTGAATAATTATTTGCAATAATGAAAATATGGGACTATAAATAAATAATCATACATTCATATTTTGGAACACCATTATGCAGCTATGAAAAGGAATGATGCAATCCTGTCCTGGCATGTAAGGATCCTCAGACAGATAGTTATATTTAAAAAATTAATCACACATGTATGATATGATCTCATTTAAGTTAAGGAAGGGACACAGTAAGTGTAAATGAATATATGTGTAAGTAAGTGCATGAAAAAGACAGAAAGGATGCACCTTGAAGAGACTTTTTGCTAATTATTTCTATAATGAAAAAAGGAAAAAAACCCACATGAGTTTGAGGAAGGGCTCTTTGTTAGGGCTAGTGATACCCCACCCATTCCTCACATTGGCTTAGTACTAGTTGATATACATTAGCAAAGCTCTATCTTATCAAGATCAATCAGCCTTGCCTATTACTATAGATTCTTTCTGCAAAGAAAAGTGGAGAGTTCTGTATTGAACTAAAACAATGATTTTACTAACATTTTAATGACACATCAGAAATTATGTTTGTGTATGTGCATACATGGTTATGTATATCTATATATCTATATATAGACATATAGACATATAGACATATAGATATATAGATATATAGATATATAGATACATATTGACCTGAATATTCACTGTGTGCAAGCTGGGATTTAATTTTACTTTTACTAATGATCTTATTTTACAAAATATTTGTAGAACGTAGGCTTTGCAGTTGTTTTGCCAGCCAACCTATGGGACATGATCTGTTAGATGCAATTGTGAAAGAATATTCCTCCCTTGTGATGGTGCATTTGCTTTTTAGAAGCAGCCAGAAGGTATTTGCAACCAAGCCTGGTTGGGGAGATTGAGGATTTCACTGGCCAGTGATTCCTGATGCATTTAAAGCTATTAATTTCTTAGTGATATTTAAGTCAAGGAAGAGAGGGAGGGAGTCAGGTTGAGGGAGGACCACACCAGACAGAAGGGAAGGCAAGAAAAATCCCTGAAGTAGGTACCTGTAAGCTCTTCTTGAGAAAAGTGAGGAGGTCTTGGTGTTTGAGGCAGAGTGAGAGAGCCGAGGAGTAGAGGAGATGAATGGGGAGACTTAGAGGCATCTGCATTCTGTAGGGACTTGGCTAGCTCTGGCTCTTACTTTGAGTGAGAGGAGAAGGCATTAAAGGGTTTTGCCCAGTGATGCTATGTGATGTTACATAGATTTTAAATAAATCGTGTTGGTTGGTAGTTGAGAAGAGACTGGAGGGTGGAGTGTGGAAGCAAGGTACAGCTAGGCAAGGGAAGATGGTTGTTTGGACATAGCTGGTGGCATCAGGGGTGGTAAGAAATAGCAGAAGAGCAAACATATTTTGAACATAGAATTTACAGTATCTGCGGACAGATTTGCCTTGGGGTACAAGAGAATGAAGGAAATCAAGAATGATAGGTTTTTGGCCAGAATACCTGTACTGATGGAGTTCCAATCACTACTCTGGGGAAGACTAAGAAGGACAAGTTCAGAAGGGAAGCTCAAGTGCACAGTTTTGAACATGTCAAGACTGAGTGATTGCTGCTGAATGGCACCCAGTGTACAGGTAGAAGGCTTGGCTGGACAGAAGCCCGGACATCTACTCCATGGTCATGAAAGGTAGCGGGGAGGTTAAATATGTGGACACAGGTACGTTAAGTGGTGGCTGAGGAAAGCATATTCTGACCTTCTATTTCCTCAGTGAAACAGGAACAAGATTATTAGCTGAAAATCAGGAGGGACAAAGGTATTGGAAGTTTTGAAGGAAAGGAGAAAGTATAAAATAGTCACCTCGAAGAGCTAGTGACTAAATGTACTAAGGTAATGTAATGTGGTTGGCAGGCAGCACTGAGGGCCACCTGGTCCAAAAGCTGTTTGTTGGTTTGGGGGGCACCCCCATATTGAAACTGAGTCTTAGAATACTATTTACATCTGAACACTGGTGATGCCTGGATTTCAAATTGAGAACCTCTAGAATAGCAATGCTTCTCACATTTTCACATTTTAACATGTGTCCACATCACTTGAGGATCATGATAAAATAAAGATTTTCCTTCAGAAGTTCTGAGCTAGGAGTTAGAAATTCTATATTTCTAACAAAGTATCCTGTGATACCTGTGAGAAGAATCAACCTGTGGTCCCTGGACCAGTAGCATTGGCATCATCTGGGAACTTTTTAGAGATGCAGAATCTTGGCCCCATCCCAAAACTATTAAAGGAGACTCTGCATGGTCTCCAGACCATTTGTATGCACAGGAAAGTTTGAGAAACACTGCTCTACATATTGGTTTCTAACTTGGGCTGCACACGAGAATCAACTGGGCAGCTTTTATGAACCCCACCAACCAGGGTATACCACAAAGCAATTAAATCAGTATATCTGCGGTAAAGCCCACGGACTAATAGCTTTTAAAGCTTCTCAAGTGATTCCAATGTACAGCCAAGACTAAGAAACACTGGCCTGATATTACCATCCTACAAGCTTCTGGCTAATGTGTTAAGTTCCCAGAGAAGCCCCAGTAAAGCTCTCTGAGTTTGGTCCCACCCAGGTCCAAACAGGAAAACCAGTGCTTGGGCCGTCTGTTTGTTTTGGACAAAATCATATCGCACACCCAGTGATCCTAATGGACCCGGCCACTCGAAAGACAGTCTTTCTGGGAGAATCAGGATGTTGCATCAGGATGCAAAACAATAAGTTTAAATTCATGTGAACATTTGGAGATATGTCTTAAAAATTTCTATAGCTACAGATCGCTGAACCCTCTTTCTTCCATGTGGAAGTAAAAATCTCTGAAGATGGGCCAGAAATGTATGGGATTTACTTGTGGGGGCACTGGAGACTATCTGGATCTAACGTAAACACAAAGTTGCAATTAAAAATGTTTTATTACAGTCTGGAGTCATTAGGACGAGCCTTGGTGAACCTGTTAACAAACCATAAGGATTGAGAAATGAGGCTGTGCCTGGTGGTTTTTAAGTCTCTGGTGATGCTTGAGATTTATTTGATCATATTTGCTCACATCTTCTTGGTTTTGAGAAGTTGGGCCATTACCTCATTGAGAAAGTAATTTATCTAGAGGTCTTTAATGGATTGCAATTCGACTCTAAAGTTACCTTTGATTTAAAAAAAGACACATGCTTCTCTAGAATTAAGAGTTCAAAGAAGAATTCGAGCAAACATATTTAAACCTTGTATGAGTCTGCATTTTTTTCCTTGCCAGGGTCTTCTGATTGCTGGTGGAGCCTACGGGAGGTACCAGGGCCCTGGGCCTGTGGTGTTTTTAGCATCTCTTGAAAAGAGATTTTCATTTTTCTATTCTTTTCAGTTAGTTTATACTAATGAATCATAGCCTTCATGTTTGGGAACCAATTTCAGGGAGTTTGGGGTAGAAATCAAAGAGAAGAAAAATAAAAAAAGAGATTCTATATTTGGGCAGCACTTTAGTTTGAATGGATGGTTTGGTATTACAGAAGTTATCCCAGTGAGAGAAAGAGAGAAATTGGATTAATAAGTGCTTATATTTGATTAAGAAAAAATAAATGAGGAGATGGACATGTCCATTAGTTTGACTGTATTTTTAGATACATTTCACTGTTATAAAACATTTTAATTGCAAACATTTCACTATGTATATAAAAATACCATGTTGTACACCTTAAATATATACAATTTTTATTAAAAATGAGATATACAATTTAAAAAATGAACAGAGCCAAAGAGTGTACTTGGAAATCACAGCATCCATTTATGATATTTTTAAAAACATAACAACTCTTGTCCACCACCACTTCTTGGATGTGCTTTCTTTCCTGGTGTCATTTTGTGCACAGCTGGTTTGTCTTGTGGGACAATCTATCTGCACTCCCAGTGACCAGACTTTATAGGTTAGTGATTGAAAATGTCTAGATCAGTGGCTCTAAACTAGAGGCCAGTTTGCAGTCCAAGAGACATTTGGCAATGCCTGGAGGCATTTTTGATTGTCACAAGTATGTGGGAGAGTGCTAATGGCATCCAGCGGGTGGAGGCCAGGTATGCTATTAAATATCCCAAGATGCACAGGGCAGCTTGCCTCACCAAAGAATCATCCAGTCCAAAATATCAATAGTACCAAAGTTGAGAAGCCCTTATCTAGATGAAATAAAAATCTCGCACTTCATTTAGACCCACTGTTCTATTCCAGGGTAGGTCATAAATAACACTCATCTTACAACCATAAGACCAAAGTATAGTCCCATCCATGGGCCTCACTCTTACATTATGGTTTTTTAAATGATATTTTAATATCTATCTCATGGGGTTGTTATAAAAGTTAAATATGGTAGTATATGAAGCAACTCTCAGTTTAGTACCTGGTGAGTAGTAGTTACTCAATAAATATTTGCATAAAACAAGTCCATGAACACACAGGGGGTGGAGGCTAGGGCTGGAAATAAACAGCGTTTACCCTGAGCAGTTCCTGAGCTCCTCACTCTTGCAGGATGTGTACATGCATTACTACTTCTGAGGACATTTCAGAGAATAGCATGACAAAGACCCAGGGAGACATGCGTACGTACTTTTTGTTCTTCTCGTTCTACAGCTGCGTTGCATTTTTCTATTCCCCAGTTTCTCAAAAAGTCTCTGAGATAGCCAAATAGGGTTCCAATCCCATATCCCATGTACGTGAAAACCATAACGTGCAGAGGTGCTTCCTCAAAGGATTCAATAATCGGCTTCTCATAAAAATGTGGCTTCCCATTTTGCTGAAAACACAAAAGGAAATCGAAGGTTAGCACTCTCCTATTACAATAAAGTATGATACTGAAAACCTGGGACTTTCAGCCTTTTTGGAATTGATCACTGAATGGGAGATCAGAAATGTACAATCCCCTAATGAAGTAACTGGTCGAGGTAAACATTCTCAACAGATGTTGCATCCATTAAGTGAAAAGTTAATGAGGAATTGGGTTTTTACAAGATGACCAAGTATCACCCATAGGTTACTACTTAATCACAAGCCTGGTGTCACTACCTTAACGAAGTGATAAAATTACATCACAGATGTTGGAACAATTAGCCACTCTGTGCTCCTATTATGTTGCAGTTTTCCATATACCAATGAAACACTTAAAGCTGAATGTAGTCAGGCTCTTATATCTAACTACCATTTCACAAGAAATATCAGGATAGAGGAATAAGGGAAATTGCTCCATGTGGAAACGAGATAATCACAATGTGGAACTTTCTGTATGACAATTGGCTTGGCTTTTAAAAGCAAAAATATATAAACGGGACTATGGCACACTATAAAGCTTCTACACGGCAAAGAAAATCATCAAAAAAATTTAAAAGCAACCTGTGAATGGGAGAAAATATTTGCTAACCGTATATCTTATAAGGGGTTAATGTCCAAAATACCGAAGAAGTTCATACAGCTCAAAAATATAAATAACCCAATTTAAAAATGGGCAAAGGACCAAACAGACAGACATTTTCCCAAAGAAGACATACAAATAAATGGCCAACACATATATGAGAAGGTGCTCAGCATCACTAATCGTGAGGGAAATGCAAATCAAGTTTGCATTGAATAGTGCAGTTGTGAGCGCGGAGGCATCGCCGCACACCTGTTAGGATGACGGTCATCAAAAACAACAGCCAGAGACAGCAAGTGGTGGCGAGGGTGTGGAGAAAAGGGCACCTGTGCCCTGTTAGTGGGGATATAAATTGGTGCAGCCATGAGGGAAAAGAGTATGAAGTTGCCTCAAAAAATTAAAAAAATAGAAATCCCAATTCTGAGTGTATATCCAGAGGACATTAAATAAGAACCTTGCAGAGATATTTGCAACTTCCATATTTATTGCAACATAATTCACAACAGCCAAGGTACAGAAACAATCTGAGTGCTCATTGATGGATGAATGAATGAAGAAAATGTTATAGATGCACATAGACACACACATACACACACACACACAGACACACACACACACCCCCAATATTATTCAGCCATGAAAAAGAAGGAAATCCTGCCATTTGCCATAACATGGATGAACCTGGAGGTCATGATACTGAGTAAAATAAGCCAGACAAAGAAAGACAAATATTGTATAATCTCACTCAAATGCGGAATCTGGAAAAGCTGAGCGCACAGGAGCAGATTGGAATGGTGGTGAGGAAATGGTGAGATGTTGGTCAGGAGGTACAATGCTTCAGCTATGGTATGAATAATGTTTGAGTACCTATGTCAGCATGGTGCCTCTGGTTAATAATACTGTATAGCATATTTGAAATTTGCTAAGATAGTAGATCTGGTCCTCACATCAGTTCTGTAGGTCTGATGGATGACTGATCTTACTATTCTAATGCCAACTTCTGGCTCCCCTCCTCGGCCCTACCCCGTGCTTGACTTTGGACTGCATCTGTCTTCGGTATTCCAGGTGACCTCCTGAACCAGTTAGGACCCACTTCCCAGCTCCTTCCACATCATGGGGCACATGATTGGCTTTCTTCTGCCCTGGATTTGTCTGGATTCTAGTAAAAGGGCCTGATCTTCATGAGGGAAGATTTGATGAAATGCTGTGACTGGTTAGGTGTCATTTCAAAGAGGAAATGAGCAGTATCTGCAAGGGGCGATATAGTGCTGCTGATAGGAAGAGGGGATCAGGAGGGCTGCTTACGGGGAAGACAGTGAGCGTGTCTGGGACACGCTCAGTCGGAGGTGAGGTCGTGTGCAGAAGTGGGACTGTCTGCCAGGCAGTTAGGGGCGCTGGAAAAGAGAAAGGCCCTGGCTGAATAGAGGGTCTGGGACTCCACCATGACGAGGCACAGTTTAAGCCATGGTTGAATGTGGTAGAGGGCAAATTATAGAGAGAGAAGAGCAGTGGGCTTGCAACAGGATTTTGGGACCCATTTCTTTAAAGGACACCGTAGAGAAGGAAGCATGGGTCATGGGTCCCCAATGTGACTTCAGAAACCTGATTTAGCCTACTCACGAAATCAACCCTGAGGCTGACTTAGAGGACGGCTGAGCTGTGTGGGCACATGAGAGAAGATAAACGACCAGGGCATTCAAGGCCAGCCTGTGAGGATCAGCAGAAGGTTTTCCCTTTTTCCTTTCCTGGCCCCCTATTCATTTCTGAACTCTTTATGTGGCCAAAACAAGCAGAACATTTCCCCCGAAATCCATGGGAACTTTCTGCTTAAATTTAAGGCTTTGAGACAAACCTGTACTGTACATAACAGACTCTCTACCTACATGCAAACAAACCCCTCAGTTGGGTGCTCAGTCTGGGGCCTGTGTAACTTTGTGTGTATGTGGTTTTTTATTTTGCCCCTGTGACTTGTTCTCTAAGATAGCTATAACACAAAGAAGAAACTTTCAACAATATTCAACAGCCCAAATCAATATCTACTTTACTCTCTCTCATATAACTTCATTTATTTTAAATTTAATTTAATATAATTTCATTTGGCAGAGAGAAAATGAGATACGTTTATGGAGAGTAAAGTTATCTGGAAATATACAGGTCTTTCTGAAGAGATGAAAAGTGACTCATTTATTACATTCCTTTCTTTAAAATCGAAGTCAGTCACACCTCTTGGGAAGGATTTCTCATACTGGGGTTGGATAGTTATTTTGAAATATGAGAATTTGCCTTATCACAGTAAATGAAGCATAAAGTTTTGCTTAATAAGTTTGCTGGCTAAGGCAGATACAGCATGGCCATCTGAAACACACTTTCTTTCTTTATTCTACCTTTTTATAAACAGCCTTGAAAATAAAGAGATCCTAAGCCATGCTGCCCTGAGTGCCAGGTCACTTGGGGCACTGTGACACCCTGGGGCTGGTCTACTTCCTGCATTCCTGTCACTTCTGGAAATAAACAGAGTGTTGGGGCAGGTTGGGAGGACCCACTTTCCAGACAATCACTCTTTTATTCTGGTTGCCTATTTTGCACTGTCCTGGGATAATATTAAAGGCTATATGAAATAAATAAGTCCAGTCCCTTTCTCCCAGAAGTGATAGGATAATGGTATATGGGGGTATGGGAGGGGAGTGAGTGTAAATGACCAGAACATAGGGCAAACAGTAAATGTCATCAGAATGACACAAATGAGGGACCATTATGACATTAGGTGGTCAGGACTGGCCTCCTGAAAAAAAGTGGAATTTGAGCCCAGTCTTGATGGGAAGTAGAGCATAAAGGTGGAGAGTGCTTGCACAGGCGTGCGACTGCCTGGGTTCAAATCCAGGCACTTTCATTTGCTGACTGCATGACCTTGCCCTCAAATGCCTCAAGTGTAAAATGGAGCTAATAAGGGTTGTTCTGAAAATTAAATGAGATAATATATGCAGAGTACCTGCCTTACTCATCACATTGAATTACAATAATATTTTAAAAAGACAAGTCATTTGATAAAAGGACAGAAAATAAAGGATTACTTGAAAAAATAGTAACTTTCACTATCTCACTCAGGCCTTTCAAATATTTCAGATGTTTTACCCCTGTTGTCAAGTGTGGCAAAGACTGGCTGTTTGGCAAAGACTGGCTGTTTGCCAAACCTATTTTCCTCTCCTCTTTCTCTCAGTTGGACTACATTTCCCATAACTCTAGTGGACAAATGTGGCCATGTGACTGTGACCAATGTGCCACTTCCATGCCTGGCTTATGAAAGCCTCTCTCACGATCCATCTCTTTCTCTTTTTTCTCTGCTGCCATCTGAATGCTGGTGGCTAAGGTGACCTTGGAAGCCATGTATTAAGGATTGCAGAGCTTTTGTTAGTCTGGTTCCTTGAATAGCTGTGTGGAGTACAGTCCTTACCACCTCCCCCTTCAACTTCCTTTCACAATATGAGTGAGAAATAAACTTCTATTTGGTGCCTTTTTTTATTATGACATCTAGTATTATTTTAATGAATACATACTACAGGAATTTTGTTAAAATGCTTTTATTTCGAACCCTCTCTTAGAAGCATTTGAAAGAAGTCTGGGAACTGTGTTACCTTCCCCAAGAAACATATCAGGACATGTCTGGGCTGACCCAAATTCAAACTTGTATCTGGGGAAGTTTATGCCAGAAAATTAACTGAGTTAAAGGTTCAGTTCTTGATTTACTGAGCATCTTTGCATGTTAGGCAGTGTTTAATGGAAAAAAAGTATGTTATAAGATTTAAGCTTCAGTGACCATAGAAGTCAGAGAGAGAGAGAGAGACAGAACATAAACAGGAAACTGGAGAGGGGACCAGTTTTTTATATACTAGCTCCTCCAACCCTTTCTTTCTAATGGTAAACAAGTTCAGTTCTTGAGAGGTTAAGCTGGATTCCAGTTGTCTTGGCTTTTCTCTTCACCACCTGAGAACTTAGCTAATAAGTCAGAGCAGCCCATGAAGTGAGCCACAGGCTTCCCGCAAGACACACCCAGATTGAGAAACAAAGGATTCACAGAAAGAGCAAGACTGCTTGAAAGGGTCTAAACAGAGTCCTCAGCAGAGTGGCAATGGCTATCTGCTGTAGAAATGAATGAATGAATGAATGAATGAATGAACGAACGAATGAGAGAGAAACCCAAGACTGGGAAAGGTTGGGAGAGGAGGTGAGGGCCTTCTAAGGGCAGGAGACAAACATAGGCAGTTGCTAGTGGGATAAAACAAGAGGAACAGGACCTTACGTGGACCTTACGTGGACCTTACGTGGACCTCTTGTGTAGGAGACGGGATATATCAAGCCCACCGTATGGCAGGGTAAGCCAGACTTTCTGT